TTTAACTATTGATAGAGTGTTAAAGGAAAGATCAAGAAGACACTGAGAATAGCGTCAAGGTATTAAAGCGTTTCATTTCAAATTTGGGTCCGGGGTTTATAGCACTCATATGTCACAATTCATATTTCAAGATTCAGAAGTGTGACTTCTGACTTCGTTTGTCATATTCGAATACTTCCGTAGTACTCATCTTGCCTTTTCTCTGTCTTTGCGTCCCTCTGTCTCTTTCACTTCTGTCTATCATTATTCTGTCCTCCTTCTCGAAATTTTGCCATTTTGATGTTCCTCCTCCCCTCTGTGAAGCCCGAAGTCAACTAAAGGGCTAATGATAACCATCAAAACTCCTGCCATTTGACATAAATATTTCAAGATTCCCCCTCGACATTCTAACAGAAACTTTTCCATGGTGTCCAGTGTTCACTGGCCATTTGTATTTAATCAAGAAGTTTTAATCATATTGGTTTATTTTCCTTTGAGTTCATTAATTGAGAATGAAACTTTCACAGGCAAAAGTTGGCAATAGTATAACGTAGATGGCATTGGCAAGTTTTTACTTTAGCGGAACTGTCAACTATGTTCATTTAAAGCCAACTTTAAAATAATTGATTTTCATCTACTATCTCAAAGGAAACATTGTTAATCCACGAGTTCGAATCCTGGTCGCATTTTGAAGCCTTCACGGAAAGCGGGGGGGGGGGGCAAAGGTAGAGCTGATGATCGCGCTAGGTCCCTAGTATTTCGAGATTTCAAGTGGAGGGGATGTCACACGTGCAAAAAAGGATTTCCATTGTATTTAGTTTTGATTTTTATTAAATGACAGCGTACCAAGGTTAAAAAATGCTTGTGATAGCACACTTAGATTAGGTTTAAAAATCGACATTGAATAGAAACTTGTTACATGGATATGTTATGGATACGTGAATTACCCTGTGTCTTCATCTGATAAAAACTTTCAAAGAACCTAAACAATGGTGGCTCATGAATCTCTTTCCCTGTCTCCACCTCCCCCACCTCAGGGACATTTACTTTCCCATATTTTCAGCAAAATCCTTGTCCAGGTCTTGGTACATAGATGGTGAGAGCAAAGGGGAGATATTTAGAGCAAGATAAAAAACAACAGAAAGAGTTGAAAATAACTGGGTAACGTTTCTGGATATGAATATGTGTGTCGAACACTTAACGACAATGCCACCTTTGATATTGTTCTATTTGAGCAAGAAAGGTGAATATAATTACTTAAGGGAAAACCCATACCGAGTGTGGTTGTGCTGGTGAAAACCTTTTAAAGACTTGATCGTGGTGAACGCTTTAGGAGTTCTGGCAGAGTTTGCTTAGGCAACAGTCAGATTTAGACAAGATAGTATTCAAGAGTCCTTGAAAATAGTTATTTTTTTCGCACTCTTGGTCTGATTGGAACAACTTTGGATCACTATTGGCAGCCAGAAGATGAGTTACAGTGGAAATTTCCTTGCAACCAGAGATTGGGAAAAAATTAATTTGAAGAATTTAAGGAGGCATTGGTAATAGATCTGTCCGAAATACATGAAGACATGTTGATTCCAATTACTGCAAGAAGATTAATTATCTTTGGAATCGTTCTCAAACATTTCGCTAGGAATTAAGTAATTTGCTTAAAGTTGAGGGCGGAAAATAAAGTTTTCTCATAGTCGATTGCGACATTACCCTTATACTGTGACTAGACAGCGCAATGCTCAAACGTTTTCTCAACTTTCATTAAAATAAATTTTTATTTTTTTTCGACAAACGATTGAATAAATATAGGTTATTATTTCATAATACAATTAATATTTTACTTTATTGATTTTGATTTGAGTTTTACCTATTTTAATCGTAGGTTAAGTTGTAGCCTCAAATAGCTTTTTACTAAAAAAACTCGAGAATCGAGTTTTGGCGCTCTATATTATATTAATTATTGTCATTAATTAAACAAACCATTTACTAATTGAACAGAAAGTCGCTTTAGTTTACATTATTTTCTAAAATAAATATTTTAAATTGATACATCAGTAACATAATTTCATTCTAAATCATGACGATTCAAAAGAAAATCATAAACATGATTGAAAGGAAACAATTTGAAATCCCATAAGAGAACTATGGTTCCGCCACTTGGTACTGTTGGTATTCACTAATAATATCAAGAACATTTGATTCAGTGCTTCTGAACTCTTCCTCTTCCATTCCTTCACCCGTATACCAATGAATATACGCTTTTCTTGCATACATTGCTGCAAAAGGCCTCTGAAGTCGTTCAAAAACTTCACTCAAAGCTGTAGTATTTCCCATGAATGTTGCGGACATTTTCATGCCTCGTGGTGGGATGTCACACATAGCTGTCTGACAGTTGTTTGGAATCCATTCAATAAAGTTCTGTGAATTCTTTTCCTGTGTATTCATCATCATTTCCTCGACTTCAGCTGGACTTAATCTTCCACGGAAAACTGCTGCACAGGTCAGATATCGTCCATGAAGTGGATTACATGCAGCCATGAGGAGCTTGGCATCGAACATTTGCTGAACAAGTTCTGGAACAGTTAGAGATTTATAAGCTCGATTATCCCGGCTTGCCAGTGGAACAAAGGATGGAGCCACAAAGTGTATTCGAGGAAATGGGACCAGGTTAACTGTAAGTTTACGAAGATCAGAGTTCAGTTGACCAGGAAATCGGAAACAAGTTGTAATTCCGCCGATGGCACTTGAAATAAGGTAGTTAAGATCACCAAAGGTACTGTTGATTTTGAGCACACTGTGGCATATGTTGTAAAGAGCCTCGTTGTCAAGAACTACAGTGAGATCACTGTTTTCTATGAGGTAGTCGAGAGTAAAAATACTGTTGTACGGTTCAACTACCACATCTGAGACCTGCACACATTCGAAAGGTAAAGAAAACTACTTAATTTGGCCATTACTCTGTTGAATTCGAGTAATATCGTTTCATCGAAAACTATCTTATAAATTCAATTTAGATTACCAAAACACTTAAACAAAGAAATTCATCAATATGCAGCATATTTGAAACGGAAGAACTTGAAAAATTATAAGTTTAAAATGTTTTGCTGCCAAAATTGTTACAACTTTGTTGCAATATCACTTAGATGTCACTTTAAGTAGTAAAAAATAGAAGTATTTAAAAAAATAGGTATAAAACTAAGCAAAAACTTTGCAATGCACTTTGAAAGTAAATTCACCTTAGGTGATGGGAAAACTGTAAAGTTATTAAAAATCCTATCAGGCCATTCTTCGCGTAGTCGATCCATAACCGCAGTAGTCATTCCTGAACCACAACCTCCGCCAATCGAATGAATTATCTGAAATCCTTGAAGTTGATCACAACCTTCAGCTTCCTTGCGAATGATATCCAGCGCGGTATCCAGTAATTCTAGACCGTCAGTGTAACGGCCTTTGGCCCAGTTATTGCTTGATCCAGATCGACCATAAACAAAGTTTGCTGGACGGAAAAGCTGACCGTAAGGCGTGCCTCGAACTGCGTCTTTTGAGCTTGGATCAAGGTCCATTAGAACGCATCTGGGAACGAACCGTCCTCCTAAATTTAGTATTTCAGTTAAAATGATTAAATAAGCCACACTGAGTCTAATAACTTCATTGAATAGTTACTATTAGCCATATAAAAAAAAACAAATCCTCTGATAACAATCTATTGTAAGTGAAACGTGCTGAAGTTGATATTTGATTAAAATTAAAAGGAAAGCTCACCAACTGCTTCAGTGAAATAGACATTCATGCGTTCAAGTTGGAGATCGGATTCTCCACGGAAAACACCATTTGGATTAACACCATGCTCATCAGCTATCATTTCCCAGAACTGGAAAACAAATATTTTAACGAAAATTGAGAAGCATATTGAAATAGCGTGATGATATTCTTCGCACTTTGATAATTGAAATGCAAAACTTTAAGGGGAAATTGAAAAAAATACTATAATTAGGCGAGAGGACACTTAAACTTCACTCTCATAAATAGACGCTACAAAAGGGGTGAATATAATACACGTTCAAAGTATTACTACCTCCAAATTGTTACACAAAATACTAGCATACCTTAACTCCTGTGTGATTTCCACATTGTCCAATAAGTAGCACGACCAATTCTCTCATTTTAATAACTAAAATCCGAAATAAATTGAATATAACCTAAAGAGAGATAACGTTGATCGTCAGACCAAGGTATAAATCAAATGAACAATCGATTCGTTCTATTCACGTGTCCCGAATAGTTTGCATCCTCACAACGTGGACAATTTTGAAAACAAGCACATTTGTAACCTTTATTAATATTTCGGTTTTGACAAGTTAATAGGTACTCATTTGTAATAGGCAGATATTTTCTATAATTTACAATTCCACTCGTAATTTTAAATTAGAACAGATAGATGACCTTAGGAGATTTTATTTTATCTTAGAGTCATTCATAGTAACCAGTCTCTATAAAGGATGTTTAAAACACTAAATAAACAATGAATTAACTCAAAGTCTCTGACTAAAGTTCACTCAATCCATGAACGGTGCTCAGCGCCAAAGTTGGTGCGTACGTTTACATTTACTGATTTCCTATTTCTTCTACCTCGGACCTACATGTTCTAGAAAATTGCAATCTCCTCCCACAGTTACCTACCCATTCTCCATGCAATTTCAATTTTGATTACCTGATTTCAACTTACATCTAATTTGAACCAAAATAGAATTGTTGCTACTTATTTCAAAATCAGTAGCATACACAAAATATCGTTTATCTTCAAGCTTGCTCTTCAGGAGTTTGCAGCCTTCAGATATGAAGCATATCTAAATATTTATAAATTAAATATACTCACTCATATGTACATGTAGAATAAAGGTAAGCCTGCTTGATTTACAATATTGCATTTCAAAAAAAACAATTAAAATTCCATTAGGATATCAGAGTAGGTGCCCTATATCGTAGTTTCTGAGGGATATATATATATATTATAGGAGCACGAACTAAATTTCATGAAAAAAGATTGAAATTTTCCTATACACCAGTAGAAGTTAAGAGTTGGAAGGTGAAGAAGAAGATATAAAGTATAATGCATATGTACAAAAATCATAAAGGAGTGGAGTAGTAGAATGTGGAAGGCTGCAGATCTATTTGCTTCGCCGAAGAGTTGAAGGTGCAGAGGCAGTGTTGGTTCCAGTTGTACTCGATCCGGAGTCATCGTTCCCCCGGGATTCTGACTTGAGCCGAACAAACTCTCGAGCAACCTCATCAGAGGGTCGTTGAGAAAGAATCCGTAGAATGGTCCAACCTGATTCATCTAGCTGCAAACGACGACCCAAGGCACACCAACATGCACAGGCCCCACTAGTTCCCAGACCAAGTGTGTCAGTACTTGCTGTCAAATCTCTCAACTGAAGAACTGTTAAACCGATCAATCGATCTGCTCGACCAAAACAGTAGTCCTTAGCACACATATGCAGTTCGTAGGATTCGGGCTCTGAGCCAGCTCCTAGCATGCTGAAATTTGAAAAAAAGCAGTATAGCTAAAATTTCACTCCAAATTATCAAAAAAGATGGCCAAAGGTAGTAAGGCGACTCACAATGTGACTGTCTCATTGAAAGTCGGAGACCAGACACCGGTTTTAGACTTGGTTGCAAATTTGCGCTTCTTGTCAGCTAGTAGGGGTCCAACAATGTACACCTCAACGAATGGTCTGAAGGTTCCATTGGTTACCCATTTAAGATTGCTTGCTGATAGAACTATAAGGATAAAGATTACGATGAATAAGCGTTACAAATCAGTTAAAAATAGCTGGAGTAATCAGATCACGTTACTTACTTGAAACGGTGACTTTGTGTTCCCCATGAGACGGATGTCGGAAGAGGTCCACTTGAATGGAGAGTTCACCGACACTGTCTTCAACGGCCGGTTTGTCTAAAACATAAAAATGGGTAGACAAATTAAAACTGAACATAAACTTTGCTGATTCTAAGTAAAGGGACTTCAACAATAAGGATGAAAACAGCGCTGACATTCATTCTTAAGACTTACTTTAATAGAAACGCAGAAGTAATATCACATAAAGGAATACAGGGAACTCTAAAGACCTTCAAGGCCTCAACCGAATGGAAGGCTTACTTTTCTTCAATACATATAAACCTGGTGGCTTTGATCATAAGGAGTACCAATCGCAGGCTGAATTTTGTGAAACTTCACTAACCTCTTTCTTCAGTAAATGTTTCAATGAAATCCATGTGTTTCTTGGTCAATAATCTATCTTTGATATCAGATTTTGATCAATGAAACAAAATCCCATAAATCAATGAGAAATATAAAACGATTTATTCAAATAGAATCCACAAATATAAAGTCAACTCTGTCAAAAAAAGATCTTTTCTATCGACTATAATTCGAACAAACTCTCGCTAGACAGGTTTTCCGTTTACTGGATGTCCGATTTACATCCTCCAGCTACAGACTGAAAGCGTGTGAGGGTTGAATCTCAGCTCAGAGTTACTGTAGTTTCAGCTTCCATAAAGTGCGCAACTTCTATGAGTATATCAGGTGCAAAATTCTAGACGAAGGTGAGTAAATGTGCAGTCTGAAACTGTCCCGAGTCGCTCAACGGCTTATATAATAAGTTGGCCTTAGGAAACAAAATTTGTAATCGAGTCTTACCTTGCGATTTCTGAGTGTTGACGAAGTTCTTGATCAGTGTATCTGTTGACTGCGTGTACAGTGAGAGAGCATGTTGAAGGGAGAGGAATTCTGGTGACTTCTCCAGATAACTGTTCTTTAAGCCGCTACCGCCTGCATGGAAGTAAGATTTGATGGCGTCCAAAGCAATGCCCATAATCTGACAATGTCGCTGATTCAAATTCTTTAGAGTCATATTGGAAGTCTCTTTTGACATCTCCTATAAAAGCAGTGATTGAATAAATGGGTACAAGCAATACTTGGAATATACTCTAGTCCCTTGCTATTAATACCTCAAATTGATAACCAACAACAACTGCGGCTTTAGTCCATCAAGCCTACCGAGCTATATTCGGTAACTTGAGGTCACATAAAGCGATAGGTCATTAGTTGAATTTTTCTTTTTTATGAAACCATCGAACAAAGGCATGAGCAATTAGTCTTGACATGAAATCTTTTTTATGTAACTTTGCTATTAATTAGAACTTTAGATTTAATATGCATAGGTATCTCCAAGTTTTGGTCCAGTTTATTGGCTTTACAGTTTTGTAACTCTATTTGAAACGTAACTGTGGTTCTTCAGTGAAATGATAAGCAAATTTCACCGAGTTAATTTACTATAGGTTTGGTTTAAGTTGCAGCCGGCTATAGTCTTCATTTATAATCGTGATTAAATCATTCAGTGGCGAATACATTTCGTTATGTCTTGCAGGAGCATATGCTAATGAAAATGGAAGCGAACGTTATAAATGGATAAAATTTCAAGAACACTCGGTTCATGAATTAAACCATTGGATATAGTCTCATGACTAACCTGGAGAAGTTTATTGTTTGGTAACTGGCTACTGACATTACTCAGTAGTGTCTGAGAAACACTTGTCAGTTTGGCCGTTGCGTTTGATGGAATTGAGAGATTGAGGAAAAGAGCACTGGGATCAGATACTGGTGGAAGAACGACCTGTTTCTCAAATGTGTACATCGTGATCTTCCAGAGCTCTTTCAGAATTCTTTTCAACACTGTCTTCTCGCAGACATCAGCGTAGATGGATAAGGAAGATTCGAAGTGATCCATCAGGGGTCGTAAGATAAGATCGGCTTCAGATTCAATATTGGCCTTGGAATTGGATGATACCTAGAGCATAAAATTGCTGACTATATACTTCATCTTAGATGTTGGAAATTTACGGTTAGATCAACAGGTTACCTGATGCAGTAGCTTATTAACCTCCATAACCTTGTTCACAACGGGTGGTTTTAGAGCAACCGAATATTTCTCCGCCATCACATCGATGGCATCATTGAGCATTTGTTGAAGGTCATGCATTACCATTTTTGTATCCTCCTTGAGGCTTCGGTCACCTCCCATGGATTCATAAACTTTCTCCAATTGAACACGACATTGTTGGATGTTGTTCATTAGAATACAGGCGGTTTCTCGAGATTCCACCCAATGACCAAAATCGGCTTTGACCACTTCCGCATAGGTGAGAAGAACTTTTCCAACTGTCTGTTGAAAGATTGAAAAATCATTTTCAATCAAATGGTTATATGCTAAATTAGCAAAAATTAAACTATTACCCCCTACACAAACATTAAAATACTCTTCAGAGTCATTCGTACTCTTATCTTGCGAAGTCGTAAAATTCAAAACGAAGGCTTTCTTTTGCTGTTAAATCGTTTGTGAAATTCATGAATACAAAAAACAAGTTAAGTGAAAAACATAAGTTTGGAAAGTGAGGGGAGCAGACTCAATTTTCCATTCTAGAGCCCTTGTAGCCAAACTTCAATAGAACTTGGCATCCACTTTTATCTCCCACCATGAAGACCTGGAATACAAAATTTTATTGATCTCTGCTAAAGCAAAATGCAAATCATTTCTTTAAAGATAAAATCTTTAATGAGAACATTGATACAACTGATAACTGAGAGTAAGCTAACAAGAAAAATTAACAAAGATGATTGAATGACAGTGGGGTTATTTTGAGAGTTTCAATCACATCTTCAATGTTTCAACCCCGTTAAAGAGGTATTTCCTTAAATTGTGCGTGCTTCATTGCCTAGAAGGGAGAATCATTGACTTACGGATTTGTCCTATAGTCTTATCCAGACGCACCATTTAAAAGCACATATTTCAGCAAACGTGCCGTATTAGAGCTTGATAAATGCGTCTGGCAAAGGGGAGCGTTATGAATGTACGGAGGACGCTCTTGTTTGCTCTGAGACCTAAGTGTACTTTTCCCGGTTGTCAGACTCCTAGTTTTCAATTAAATTTCAATATAAAGCAAGACCAAGAGGAGCTTTACTTGAGCAAGATCAGCCCAGAAGTACAATAAGGCCATTTTTACTTAAACGTCAGTCATTCTAGTACCCCGATTGAAACTTTCAGCAAACATTTAGGATGAGCCATATTTATACCCAAATAAAGGTATTCAGCAACACTAAAGTGGAATAAATAAGCTGGTTTAGATTAGATATACCACCCTAGAGTACTATTCAGTACTGGTTTCCAAAACGTGCCATCTACCAGGACATTAAAGTGAATGGTGGTTACTATGGTGCAGTAACGGATAGAGTAAAATCTCACCTTGAGAGTGAGGTGTAGCAGTAGTCTTGGAAAAAAACGTATTTTTCACTTAAATAAACAAATAATGCATATCTCTGAACTAACGGCCAGTATGCACAAATGTCTTGCTAAAATCATTATCATCGATACGCATTCAATGATTGGAAAGCGGCTCCGGGTCTCAATTTATTTAGACTTCCCAATTTGGATGTTGAAAAATTCTTCCATTCAATTGTACGCCGCTGATTCAGTGGTCAGAGTTCACGCAAGCTTATTCAGAATTGACATGAATATCGCCTATTGGCCATCTGCCAGCAGTGATATGGGTGACCAACAGCACTGATGCACTTTGAAAACTGGAGAGGAGGCAATATGCAAATTCCTTGTAAGCAAGGTTCAAATATTCGATCGACATATAGATAACATTTCTTTATAGGTCCTGGAGTGTTTTCTCATTAAATTGACTTGTGATTAACTTAGTAAGAAACGAAAAGCAAGCATGCATTTTTGACACTTTTTATACGTGTTGTCCTTGTACTTGCTTCATGGAAAGCCTTGTAGTGAAATTATTAGCATCTGAATTGATTGTGAAATGCGGATATACTGCATGCTTGAATTTTAAAGGATTGCTATGAACTCATCTTTTTTCGGGGATATTAGTCGCCTCGTCTTCCCATCTAAGCCAATTTTCTTTGTGCTACACTGGTACCTTTGCCAAATTGCTTCAATTAATCTGAAGGAATTGACACTCTCAACCTTCTGATTTGATTGAAAAGAATATTTGCATCCTTGTTCTTAATTCTAAGGAATGACTGATGTTAAAATAAAATACTATTATTGACTCCTTTTGTAACAGTATCTTTATGACAATCAGTAAGTACCTATTCAATGGATCACTAAACATTGGAATCTATGGCCATTTGGCAATTAGTATCTTCATGTGGTAATCAAACAAGAAAGTGAAAGGAAACTGTTTTTCATGAATAGCGAAAGGAGGGCAATAGCAAACTTAGTCAATCAGAAAAGATTTAGTGATGGGGCTATTTAAGTGTATATTTGCTATTTAAATTTCAAACATAGGGCGTAAATTATCAAGAGTGAGATATCAATTGTTGCTTAGTTTTCATTTGAGTATGATGATCACTGTGTGCGTGTGGAAGTTTAATCAAGATAGACATCCCACCTTCTTTTATATAAAAGTGCAATTCCAAATTTCAAATTTGTGATTTCCTAATTCTATTCACATCTGGCCACCCACTTTGTAATTGAATGAGCTTACTTTTCCTCGTCAGATAAGATGTGCGTGCAAAGAAAAAGTGAACATACAAACCGCCTTCCTATTTTGGTACTCTTGAATTTGTACTTATGCTTAATTAACTCAAATTGAAGACAGTCCAACGAAAAAAGGGAGGTTGGGGGGGGGGTTATTTTCATGAAAATGAACTTCAGAATGGATGGTGGAGAGGAAAAGGGCGATTAAATGTTTTTATAACGCTCTTTAGAGCCCCTTCTCTTCGGTCTACTAGAATATGTGAGTTGTGGATCCTTTTACCCGATTTTGGTAATTGATGTGATATACAAGCGTATGAACAAAGTCCTATTATGTTACCTGAGAGAAACGGTTTAGAAATCGATCGTTGACTACCGGATCCGGACACTCTAATTTCTTCATTATGTCGAAACACTGATTCAGCTGAGTGAATACATCCACCACGGAGTTTGAGAAGAGCGCTTGACCACTGGAACGATGAAATCCATCCTTCTTATCACGTTGGTAGGCATTTCGTAAGAAATCCATTGAGATCTCGTCATTTTCATTTAGCCATTGCATTACAAATGGCTCAAACCAACTAGAAATAAAGAAGGGAGCATATAGTTTGCTATTTTCTAAACAAAGCAACTTTGTGATGTTATCTGGTGTTTATAAACACACATTTGCTTCGCTTCAAGACAGTTCATTTCGTCAAAGCCTCGGTTCTGTTCAGTCTTTAATCATTTTTATAAAAATTGTATTTGTGCACGCAAAGGAAATGAACATTTTAATTATAATACATGTTGAACTAGATTCTAAGTTTAGGGTAATAAACAAAGATAAAGTGAGCATCACACACAAAAAGTTTACACCAATACTGATAGAAAACTGAAGTAAGAAAATGCTCTTTGATAATTTTATACATCATCACCCCTCAAAATAATAGTCTTTTACCTCTTGTTCAACTATGCGCATTATGTTCTCTTTTCATTTTCAGAAGTTTAAATGAATTGTTTTAGAAGCAAAGAAGGATATTTAATTAAAATCAATCTTGGTTAGGCAAGTAATATTTAGGAATATATAGTTGACCACTCGGAAGCCAATGTGCCTGGAATGTTTTAATGCCATACTTCAGGAAGTAACCTTGAAGCAAACATTTATTCTCTTTTGTTTTTTGAAAACAGAAGGAGCATTTCAAGAAATTAATATTTTTTTACTATACTCCTAGTAAAATTTGCTAAAACTAGTTCATAATTATAAATCATATAAAATATTTAGTTACGATTTTAGTAACTCGAAGTACATTAAATAATTCAGTTACCGGTGGTTCGAAAACCAAAAATGAATAATCCTAACAGGTTTATATTTCTAAAGGATTTAGGAATGGTACTGAAGTTAGTTAATGTGAAGTCGATTAGGTGATTGCTTACAAAACACACTTTCAACTAATCTTTGGAGATACGTTTTTAGACGATATTGATAAAGCACAAATGCTACTAAAGACGAATGCTCTATTCGAAGGTTCTTAAGCGCAACCACAAGACACTTCAATACAAACTGAGGCAAAGTTTGCATAAATCAGCTGATTAATATCGATTAAGTAAGCATACCCCAATATCAAGTTTTAAACTCTAAGCGAATTAAATAAAATCTGGCTAGGATTATTTAGAGGACATAAATAATCTACCTGGGATAGCCAGGAACGACGTTTTTGAGTTCTGGAACCTCCGAGATGTGAGTATTGTAGAACCACTTGACTTTGAAACAGAGATTCATGTAATCGGAGGTCTTGCAGTAACGATTGGACATGTTGGCATGCTGTTCTAAAGCTGGTGCTAAGTCGTCAGATAGCCGAGTCCACATGCAGTAGGCGCTGATTAGACCCATGTTCGCTTCTTGAGGGAATCTGTCAAAGCAAAATGCAATTGGTAATAAATTTTGAAAGTTTTAAAAGTTCTCATAGAACAACTTCCTTCAAAACTGGCAATTAGTAATTTTTTTTGCAATAGAGATAGAAAATCACCTAACTACATCAGATTTCAGCCTTGAAAATATTTCCACATACTGCACAAAAGTCATGCAATATCAAAATAGTGGTGTCGACCAACTTCGGAGTAAGGCATAGGAATAATTTTTGGTTTCAGTTCGCGCATCAGTTTTCATACTCCAAGAAAATACCACTCACTCTAATATGCCTTTAAAATATAAGCGCTTCTTTGAGAAATAAACAATAGCAAAAGGCTAAAAATGAGAATTTTATACAGCAAGACCACATATCCCATTATTTCAGTGCCTTTTATGCATAGAATAGCAATCTCCCATGCTGAATCCATCTTCGCAGATCCTTAACCTTAGAAGTCATTGAAGGAGAGGGGAGGGGAGGGGAGGACTATCTCACCCTGCTTCCTGGTGATAAAAGGTGTAGCATTTTACCTTGTTTTGGGTAAAACACCAGTAAAGAGGTTACCATTTGCCATTGCATTTCATTTCAGTATATAAATGAGGGGTGCGCGATAGACTTACCTCCACGTGGTGCACCTTGGACAACGTATCTTAGTACGGCAAAAAAGTCTATCACTCGGCATCTGATTTGACTTCGATTTATTATGATTAGCTTGAAACAGATTAAATAGGAAATGTCAAAACCACTTCAAGATATATGCAGTCTATAACCAATGTCAAAACCACTTCAAGATATATACAGTCTATAATCCATTGTCAAAACCACTTCAAGGTATATGCAGTCTATAATCCAAAACACAAGACATATGTGAAATAATCAGATTAAATGTTTGGAAATATCACTTCAAGGTATATGCAGTCTATAATCCACCCCAGAATCGTTTCAAGATATATGCAGTCTATAATCCTCCCCAGAATTGTCGAAATGCAGTCTATAATCCACCCCAGAATTGTCCAAAATTTGACATAAATATTTAGAAATGTCAAAACCACTTCAAGATATATGCAACGTTTGGAAATGTCAAAACCACTTCAAGGTATATGCAGTCTGTTCTGAACATCTTCACAAAACTGTAGTATTAGGAGACTTCAACGCCCATTCCATGGGCTACAAGGATACAAACATAGCTGAAAAGGAAATTGAAATACAAGGCTACAAACATAGCCACATAGCTGGAAAGGAAATTGAAGACATGCCGGATCCCGCTCATATTTGCACTACAATGGAACCAGAACAACTCCTGACTTTCTCCTGGCTTCAAGCAACATCAGCGAGCATACACGCCGAAAAATAATTAACGATTCTGGTTCTGGTCACAAACCAGTCATTGCTAGTAT